CCCTCCTCCCTCAGACCCAGGAGTCCAGACCCCAGCCCCTCCTCCCTTAGACCCAGGAGTCCAGACCCCAGCCCCTCCTCCCTCAGATGTAGAAGTCCTATCCTTGCACCCTTAGGGGCTCCAGGAAATTAGCCTGTATTCCCTCTGGGTGCCCACTACAGAGCCTGGCTCGGCTGCCAACTCCAGTCCGAGACGCTCACCCGCCCCTCCCCCCAGGTTATTTTAGGAGCACCTGCCTGAGCCTGGGATGGCTTTTCTGGTGAAAGAAACACCAGGATTGCATCAGGGAGGAGGATGCTGCGATGCCCAGGGTCTGAGCATCTGAGCAGGGGCAGAGGAGGTTGAGGTCGGCCCACGGCCAGGCGAGAGGCTTCCAAGGCCGGGCACTGTGTCTCTGCCGAGGTCACTGTTTCGTACAGCAATTGCCACCTTGCTGAGGATCAAGGAAACTCCGTGTCAGACCATGCCCTCCCCTCAAACTTAGAAATTCAGATAGGGGTCAGAAATTTCTCTTGTTCTTGAGATCTGCATGAATGAGCCAAGAGGTGGTTTCTCCAGGATCCCAGCACCCCTCCTTCCTCCTACTCCTGGGTACTACCCCAGATCCTTCTCTCTGAGACTCAGGAATCTGGGCTCCCAGCCCCTTTCATCTGAGTCCCAGCTAACCTGATTCTCCTCTCCCTCATCCCCTAGACCCCCATTGAAAGGACCCCCGGATTGCATCATCCATCCATTCGGGCTGCCCTTGCCACGATGGAATTCTAGCTCCTGCCAAGTGGGTCAAATATCATTGTTCAGGCGCAGGGAGGCTGATTGGGCGGAACTGTCTGGGTATAAATTCTGGAGCTCCTGCAGCTATCCCAAAAAACAGGGGTGTCCTGTCGGCTGAGGATCCACCTGAAAGAGGACCCAGGCACTCAGGGCACCTGAGCAGCGATCTGTGGATCTGCTCACCGGGACAAGCAGAATCTGGCACAGATCTAGACCACTCAGCTTCTCCCACTCACACCCTGGACATCGCCTGAGGACCTGAGCCATTGATGGGCTCGGAGGAGGTCGAGTTGGAGCACCCTGCACTGTGGGTTTCTGTGCTGGCTGGTCTCCTGCTGGGAACCTGCCAGGCGCACCCCATCCCTGACTCCAGTCCCCTCCTGCAATTCGGAGGCCAAGTCCGGCAGCGGTACCTCTACACAGATGACGCCCAGCAGACAGAAGCCCACCTGGAGATCAGGGAGGATGGCACGGTGGCGGGGGTTGCCCACCAGAGCCCCGAAAGTGAGTGTGGGCCAGGGCCTGAGTCTGAGGAAGGAGGGGCTGGGGGCTTGGATTCCTGGGTCTGAGGGAGGTGGGGCTGGGGCCTGGACTCCTGGGTCTGAGGGAGGAGGGGCTGGGGGCTGGGCTCCTGGGTCTGAGGGAGGAGGGGCTGGGGGTCTGGACTCCTGGGTCTGAGGGAGGAGGGGCTGGGGCCTGGACTCCTGGGTCTGAGGGAGGAGGGGCTGGGGGTCTGGACTTCTGGGTCTGAGGGAGGAGGGGCTGGGGGTCTGGACTCCTGGGTCTGAGGGAGGAGGTGGCTTCACCTGGACTCCTGGGTCTGAGGGAGGAGGGGGCTTTGCCTGGACTCCTAGGACTGGGACGGAGCGGCGTGGAAGAGTTCCTCTAGGCGCCTTACCACTTTCTCCCCTTAGGTCTCTTGCAGCTGAAGGCCTTAAAGCCAGGGGTTATTCAAATCTTGGGAGTCAAGACATCCAGGTTCCTGTGCCAGAGGCCGGACGGGGCCCTGTATGGATCGGTGAGTTTCTGGGACCCTCCTCGGCGCCCACCGCTCCCCCTGGCTGCCGCCCTCACAGCCTGGGGTGCCATGTCTTGCTCATCCCCCGGAGCCAGACTTGATTCTATTCGCTCTGCACGCCCTGACCTCACAGCAACCTTTCGAAGTTGAGGTTTATGTCATCAGTGTTTGCAAGATGAGGAAACTGAGGCCCAGGCCAAGGCACCACAACCTCAATCACGTGACGTGTGGAGCCAGCCTGGCCTGAGACTCAGGGGTGATCGTCTCATTCTCAGTGACACCTGCTCCTGCCCACATGGCCCCTGTGTGCACGGCTCATGCTGGGCACAGGGACACTCGGGGAAGCCATGGCCAGGAAAGTGACCAGGACCTTGGGTGCTAGGGGAACCCCCCAGCCTGGCCTGAGAGAGCACTGACTGCTCCGAGGGCTGGAATGTTCTTCTCTGTGAAGTCTGCACTGAGAGCCGGGGCCCTGCAGGACAGATCTGGGGTATAAAAGAAATCTCCTGTTAGTGTTTGTTACCTAGAGGAGGGGCTGGGCCTGGACTCCTGGGTCTGAGGGAGGAAGTACTGGGACCTGGATTCCTGGGTCTGAGGGAGGAGGGGCTGGGCCTGGACTCCTGGGTCTGAGGGAGGAGGCACTGGGACCTGGATTGCTGGGTCTGAGGGAGGAGGGGCTGAGGGCCTGGGTCCTGGGTCCTGCAACAGGAAAACATGGAGGAATGCTGTCTCTGATCCTGTTCTTTGTCTGCTAGCTCCACTTTGACCCCGAGGCCTGCAGCTTCCGGGAGCTGCTTCTTGAGGATGGATACAATGTGTACCAGTCCCTGGCCCACAGCCTTCCGCTGCACCTGCCGGGGAGCAGGTCCCCACCCCGGGACCCTGCACCCCGAGGACCAGCTCGCTTCCTGCCGCTACCAGGCCTGCCCCCTGAACACCCAGAGCCGCCTGGAATCCTGGCCCCCGAGCCTCCCGATGTGGGCTCCTCAGACCCTCTGAGCATGGTGGGGCCTTCCCAAGGCCAAAGCCCCAGCTACGCTTCCTGAGGTCACAGGCTGTTTACTATTGCATCTCCTCTTTATTTATTAGGTTATTTATCTTATTTATTTTTTTATTTTTCTTACTTGAGATAATAAAGAGTTGGAGAGGAGGCTGACCGTGAACATGTGTGTGTGTTTGAGGGAAGGAATGGGATCTGCTTCCTCGTCACCCTTTCCCCCCCCGCCTCTTGTTGGCCTGGCGTCCTGGCTTCCTGCTGGGCCAAACTTTTCTACCCTGCTAAAGCGTCCCCAGGGAGTCTGGACTATCCCTGCTCTTTGAGAGGGCAAGACTGGCTGGGCGCAGTGGCTCACGCCTGTAATCCCAGCACTTTGGGAGGTCAAGGCAGGTGGATCACAAGGTCAAGAGTTCGAGAGCAGCCTGACCAACATGATGGTGAAACCCCATCTCCACTAAAAATACAAAATTAGCCGGACATGGTGGTGGCACATGCCTGTAATCCCAGCTACTCAGGAGGCTGAGACAGGAGAATAGCTTGAACCCGGGAGACGGAGGTTGCGGTGAGCCCAGATCACACCACTGTACTCTAGCCTGGGTGACAGAGCAAGACTCAAAGTCTCCAAATAAATAAATAAATAAGCCAGGTTTGGTGGCTCATGCCTATAACCCCAGCACTTTGGGAGGCTGAGACAGGTGGATCGCCTGAGGTTAGGAGTTTGAGACCAGCCTTGCCAACATGTCTCTAAGTACAATAACTAACTGGACATGGTGGTGGACACCTGTAATCTCAGCTACTTGGGAGGCTGAGGCAGGAGAATGGCTTGAACCTGGGAGGCGGAGGTTGCAGTGAGCTGAGATCACACCACCATCCTCCAGACTGGGCAGTAGAGTGAGACTCCGTCCCACCCCCCTGGCAAAAAAACAGAAGTAGTTAAAAAAAATAAAAATAAAAGGGCAGGACTCTTGTCTCCACCCCCTCAACTTGTGTTGGCATTGTGGAACTATTTCTCAGAGCTACCTCAATAACAGGGGAGCTTTTACAACGTGACACAGCAGGCTCGCATCCTTATGGGAGATGTAGTTTTCTGGCATCATTTAGCAGTGGGAATGAGATCTCTTGGTCCTCAAATCTAGGACAAGGACTCCTGCATCCTGGGGTGGGTTTGGTGCTAGTGTAACACCCAGGTTCTGGGGAATCAGAGGGTTGCACATCTGGACACCTGGGTCCCAGGAGAATTGGGGACTACA